ATCCCTGTTATCTTTCCTTGACTCTCTGCGTGATTTAGAAGGCTAACGAGCGCTTCCGTGCACAGAATAAAAATGAAAGGGGACAAAGGATCTCCCTGTCTTAGACCTCTCTCCGGGACTATATTCCCTCTTGGCTGCCCATTCATGAGTACCTTATACTTTACTGATGTGACGCATCTCATTATCATAGATATCCAGACTTCAGAAAATCCCATTTTCCTCATGGTGGCTTCAATGAAGGACCACTCCATCCTATCATATGCCTTGCTCATGTCTGTCTTAATAGCCATCCTCTTATTTCGGCCACTAGGTTTTGTTCTGAGGGCGTGAAACAACTCTTGGGATATCATTATGTTGTCAGATATCTGTCTCCCAGCAACAAAGGCTGACTGGGTCTCTGAGATTCTGTCTGGTAGGAATTTTTTCAATCTCTGGCATAAGACCTTAGAGATAATCTTATAGCTAACGTTGCACAAGCTAATAGGGCGTAACTGGCTCATCTGATTTGGCTTATCCACTTTTGGAATGAGGCATATGTTGGTGTCATTTAACCCAATCGGCACCGTCCCTTCAAATAAGAATTGATTAACCATAAGAGTTAAATCATCCTTAACTACATCCCAGAATTTCTGATAAAAAAGTGCCGTCATTCCATCTGGTCCCGAGGCTTTCTCTGGGTGCATCGCGAAGAGAGCCACTTTAACCTCCCATTCAGTGACCGGAGCTGTTAAAGTCTCATTATCTGATACTGTAATTGTCGTTGATACTTCAGAAAGAGCCTCCTCTATTGTCTCCGGATTTGATGATTGGAAAATGTGTCTAAAATAACTCGTAGCAATGGCTACCAGTCCTTCCTCATCCTCCACAACATTCCCATCTTCATCCAGCAATTGTGTAATCTTATTCCTTGCTCTCCTCTGCTTTGTAAGGGCGTGGAAAAATTTAGTATTCCTATCACCTTCCCTCAACCAAAATACCCTGCATTTTTGCTTCCAGAACATCTCATCCGCCTTAAGAGCGTCAGAAAGTTCTTTTAAGGCCGCTGCAATCTCTTCTGTAGTGGCGTCATCATTCGAGGATAAGCGATCAACCTTTTCCTTCAACTCCTCTATACTTTTCTCTGAGTTCAGATTAAGTTGCCTTTTCCATTCGCATAGGGCTCGCCTACAACTTGTAATATGGTCCATGATACTCGCCTCGGGTGGAAGATCAGGTGACTTCCACCCTTCAAGAATTATTTGCCTTAGCTCCTCGTTATCCAGCCATCTTTTATCAAATTTAAAGTTTCTTGATCGTCGCGGCTTTTTTCTCAGGATATCAGCCAAGATCGGACGATGATCCGATCCCCAGAGCCTCATATATTGCACTTTAGAATGAGGGAATTTCTCGTGCCAGTTCTCATTTCCAACCGCTCTCTCAAGCCGACATCTAACGGTAGCATTCCCTGCTCGTTTTCCTACCCATGAAAGCATGTTCCCTGTGAAAGGGAATTCCAGCATACCACAATCACTCAACATTTGTTTGAAAGGTAAAAATGAGGTATCAGTGCGTCGTCTGCCTCCTTCCTTCTCCTCATGACAGGTAATTTCATTAAAGTCACCTATCATAAACCATGGTCCATTCCTTGTCGTTGAGAAACGCGTAAGACGTTCCCAAACTAAGTCTCTTCGTTCTAATACAGGATCCCCATAAACAAACGTCATATAGACTTTTATTCCATCAATGACTGCCTCAATGTCAATCATTCTGTTATTCGAAAATAAAACATTAACTTGAAATTCATCCATAAAAAAAAACGCTAAACCTCCGCTGAGACCAAGTGACTCAACAGTATACAGATGATCAAATCCTAAGTCGGCCTGAATGTCTTGCAACAGCAGCCTCCTGTTCTTCGTTTCAGAAAGAAACACTAGTCCTGGGCGATGCTTCTGACACATCTCCGTAAGGCGTCGAACTGTAAGGTCGTTTCTGATCCCTCGACAATTCCAACTGATTGTCCTCATGGATGAGCGGGGGATGGGTTTTTGGATCCCATCGAACCAACTCCGTTGTGTGTACTTCCTTGAACCTTTTTAGAAACATGTCGCGCATGTCCAGTCTTTTCCTTGTGACGAGAAGACTTCTGCGCCGATGCCTTAGTTACTCTCAACCTGGGCGATCCCCGACGGAGGAAGCCCGGCTTCGACCCTGGCTTACTTGATGATGTAGTTAAACGACCGGATCGTTTCTTGCTATCTGCCTTAATTGTCAAACCAATGTTGCCTTCACCGCGCTTCTCTTCGCTAGCCTCCATATATTCCTCCCCCAGAAGATCATCATCAGCATCATCATACTCCTCATTAGTCATTTTCGTTGCAACATCAGAATCATTTGTCTCCATATCAGCTAAAGCCTCAATGACTTGCTCCCCTTCCTCTACTGCCTCATCCTCCACAAAAGACAAAGATCTTATTGCGCTTCGACTACGAATTGTAACGTTATCCTCCATAGTTGCTGCCCTTAGTGGCGGAGAGATAATGATACTAGCCATCTTCCTGCTCTGGTTTCCCTCTCCTCGCGCATCATCATTGTCTCCCACCTCAGTCGCAGCAATACCATGGTCACTGCTAGTGGCAGTCATCCTTTTCTCCGTAGAATGGATCTTGGGCGATTTCTCCCACTCTCTCTCCGTACTACGTGTCTTTGTTACTGGCTTTTCACGCCATTCCCTGGTGGACCTACGGTCATAAGGACCAAAAGCTTATCTGGAATCAAAGCGACGAGCAGCATAGTTTCTCTCAACTCGTCTCCCTAGGACACGGTCACTGCTCCTTTCGCTACTCCTATCACGAGTACGTGATATGCTAGCTGTTCGAGGTAGAGCTGCACGAAATTCATGTCTCTCCTTCTCATGACGATGACCATGTGCTCTGTCTCGACTCGCCAAGTGTTGGTTTCGTGACGAAGGTTGTGACTCATAAAGGCTACTACGGTTCGTATGATAGCCGTGCTCCTTACTTCCTTCCAGCAAAGGCTGGAGTTGAACCCTCGAGAAGACGCCACTCCTTTCCTGAGCTATCGGTGCTGTGGAGATGGTCGGGCAATACCCTTTCTCATGTGACATAAGACCACACAAGGTACAGTGTTTAAAGAGCAAATCATACTCTATAGTAATGGTAACTTCTTCATCTTCAGGGCTAAGCACCTTCCTCTTAAACTTAAGAGGTTTCCTAGAATCAACATGAATAAGCATCTTTCCCTCCGTAAGCTCAATCGTATCGACATGTCCAAGTCTCTCTCCGATGTCTCTGAGATTGCGGTCGGTCCAGAGGTGAAGAGGCATCCCAACAAGACGAACCCAGAAGGGTATAATCCAAGGATAGTCATCATGAACCACCGGTTCCCATCGAACCAAGACAAACATGCAGAAATTAAAATGGAAAGGACCCTTGGAGAGAACAAAGTTGAGGTCCTGTTCATTGGTAAAGTTCAAAAGGAACTTGCCATTGCCGAGATCGTTTGCCGTAATCTTCTCTTCCATTCCCCATTGAGCCGGCATTGTCTGGATCAATTTCTCAACGTTTTGCTTCTTAGGATTTAGGATTTTTCCAATGAGAGACATCCTATACTCTTTTATTACAAAGGCATTGTCTTGCTCAGTTAATCTGATAGGCTCATCATCATCATCAATAACAAACTCTTTTCCTTTGTGATCGATCACACGAGACGAGTTCTTACGATATGAACGCTCCATGTGTGTGTACGTGAATACCGAAGGGTATCAATCACAGAACAATAACAGCGTCGTGGAACACTGGATCACGGGATGACTCCACTACCGAAGAGTATGAAGCCGAACACGGGATCACGGGATCACGTGAAAACCGAAGTCGATCAATTCGATCAAACGTAAGGAAAGTTGCAGGGTGATAGTCTCTTGACAATGGTCTCGACGAGGATCAAGACCAGTTAAGACGAGATCACAGGATCACACCACCGTACCGGAGAGCCACCCACACTTGCAGCGCCGCACAAACCCAAACCACAACTCAGCCGACAAAGGTCGATGAACCGTATGATTGATGATCACCAAGGAGTGAATCAATCCAAGGCAGGTGCTTTGTCGTCTTCTATCTTCAGAGTCGCCAATCTCATCGCAGGTTTCTTTGCAGAGCGGCTATTCCCCTTTATTTATAAGAGTTCATAAATCAATTCATACATATGAGTTTATACAAAAATATATAAGGGTTTATAAATCAATTTATAAGAGTTTATAAATTAATTTGTAAGAATAACATTCAATTTTCAGGAGAGCTTCTCCATTGTATTATTAGAGTTATATAGGTTTAAAAATACCCTAAAGAGTCTATAATAACAATTTAAAAAGACTTATAAGACAATTTATAATGGTTTGTATAATATTTTGTAAGGGCTTATAAGGGTATATGTAAATAACTTATAAGAGTTTATAAAAATAATTTATAAAGTTTATACACCATTATAAAAGATTATAAAACCAATTTATAAGGGTAAGTGCAATAAAACAAAGCTGCTGTTCAAATTAACTTATATATCCTCTTCTGAGTGAGACCTTTCCGTTGTTCTGATTCTAAAACTTGACTCTTGTTTTCATACCTCAATCTCTTGATAAAGACTCATTGACTTCCATTAAATCCTTTGAGGCTAACCTTGTTTTTGTTAGGAAATTCACTACACATAACTACTGACTCCTCTCAACGTTTCCTAAACGAGACTTGAAACGGTTGAATGATTCTGATCCAATAACTTTACTAAGCTACGCGTCTCTGCAGTTCCTAGTGTAGATGATATTACTATGTACAGAAGCTTATAAATTCTGATCCAGTAGCAAACTCTTCACTAGAAATCTTCATGGCCATATTGCTCTTTTCAATGTCGCCTTGGAATTATTTCGTCTCTAATCAAGGCTGATGAAGACTTTTATTTTTCTTGTGCAAATTCAGCCCTGCAATCCATTCTGTGTGCTTCTCTTCCAACCGATTAAACAAGAACAGACCCAGCAGTGATGCTCAATTAATTTGGTTACACGAATAACTTCTTGTCCATCCTTTTCGTAGCTCATGTTCAATAAGCATACTGAAGAACCATAATTTCAAATCCTCAACCTCTGTAACTCTAGAGTTACCAGAACCATCAGCGATGCAAAGATGAACCAATATATTCCTGGAACTAAAGATATCTTCAAACAACCATAATATCTCTGGATAAATCTCTTGCTACTATAGCCAAGTCTTTTGATAATACGAATTTGCATCTCACGTTCGCCTTTAAAATGATCCTACTATCACAGTCAACATTTTGCTTCATTCTTGGGTCACGTGGAAGAATCCTTTGTACATCATGAATAGAGACGTCTGAGTCAGATGTTCTGAAACTCCATCATTCAAATATGATCTCAGACTCCAAATTCAGTTTCCTTCACTTGTTAGAGTTCTCCACAATTAATTACCAAATCTGAAAATTCAGATGAACTATTCCCAGAGAAGACTGAAGAAGCTCAAGTAAAACATAAACCAACCGTTAAGATCTCAATCCCACCGTTGATTTTCAAGACAGCAAAATCATAAAGGTTTTCACCAAATTCAAGCTCCATCGGACTTATTTAGATCTTTAAACGTTGCCTTGAATAACCCATCTTGGAACTGACTTTCTGCAATAATCATTGTGATCTTCTTTAAGAGGATTTCTTGTGACATCACAACTGTTCTAAAGCTCTGTTTCTGTCTGTCTCAGATTCTTCTGCAGCCAGCAACACGAACATATGTCATCTTCTTGACTTGTACACCAGAACCAAATGTAGGCAGAACCATTATCTTTCGAGAGCTCTTGACTCCATCTTCTTGTTAGCCTAAAATGTTCACTGAACAGTAAATCTGCTTTGCTTTCTCAGTTTCACAACCATTGATCCTCTACAGAGGATTCTATTGTTGCAACCCATATACAACATCTTGCAACGCTAATTGCTGAATCGGATGTTCCTTAGTACACATCAAAACGCTCTCTCTTGTTGTCAAGTCTGTCAAGTATAACTGACAGAAACAAAACCACATAAATGGATTTCAAAAAAAGAAGTTTTACTCTGGGGGGGGGGGGGAAACCAAAAGAAGAGGAAATTTACTCACAGATTGATCTCTTCCACCGCTATAAACATGAGTAAATGATGGAGTGCATCCAAGCGCCAAAACAGAATTAAATTCTCCGGAATTTGCTGACAACACGACCATCATCTATACACATTCTTGGACCATATGTGTTGAAGATCCTAGCAATCCTGACCTGTGACCACATTCAAACAAGGCAAACACAAAGTTAGTCACTGAAACGTACTCCATCTCGTCTTCGGTTCTTCCTCATTATTTACTAGAGAGAAACGTAACTTGGCTTGAAAGGGAGGTAAAATGAAAGCAAAAAAAGTAACCAACCTCAACATTGGCTCCACGGTGATAGTCCATGGCCAACGTCTCAGCCGTACGCTTTCCTTCTTCGTAGCAACTACGAACACATGTTCCAAACCATTACAGCCACAATTACATGATTTCAATAGTCAGATCTCGAAATCAAAGACAGAATTTAAATCGTTCCCAATCAATCGGGAAAAGAATGAATACCGGAGAAGCTGAGATTTTGAAGACTTACGTCGTCACCACTCTTTGATTGACATCAAACACTCGCCGGAGAAGCCAAGTAGACGACGAAGCGGGATTCGTAGCCGTTGAACGGCGCCTTGAACACCATCTGAGGACGCAGTTTACAGCGTCTCCTGGTCAGAATCTCACGACTCCGTACTCATCGCCGCAATCGGCGACGGCTCCGTGAAGATCTACGACACGTCTCTCTCGCCTCGTCGTCGAGAAGAAACCGTGGTTTAATTAACTAGGGGTACTATAGTCTTTTGCTTATCAAAATTTTGAGTGTAAAGTTGGTTAATGTAAAAATGAAATATGGCAATTTCCCATAAAATAATAGTGTAAGTTTAGAAGATTAATTTTTATATATTTTATGTATAATTTAAAAATAATGTAAGAAATTATATATTGATAACTGAATAAAAAGATGAATTTATTACTTAAAAATTAAATATTTATATTTTCATCTTCGTGCTTATATTCACCAACTCTATCATTGATATTTTTAACTCACTATGTTTTAAACTTTAAGATAGATGTTTAATGCTTAATGTACATTTTTTAAAAAAAAATTGTGTATTTACTTGTTATTCTTATTTTCATATATTATACTAGGTGATTTTCCCGTTCTCATGCACGGGTATAAATATTTATAAAATAAATATACTATAAAAATTGATTGCTATTTACTTTAATTTTAAATAAATTTATAATTTATATACATAATTTATATTAATAATATTATAGTACTTTAGCAGATGATTTTAGATATGTTATATCTAATTGGTTTTGTTAATTTTTAGAGTCGAATTAGTTATCATATGAATTTATTGGACTGTATCTATTTTTCTAAATTCAACTACAATGTTTTTTATTCTAAATATATTAAATTTTGATTAATTTTCTTATTTTTATTTAGTTTAGTTGTTGTGTTAGATACGTAAATATATTTTAGAAAGATTATGTATAACTTAGTATATATTGTTTTTAGAATGAAATAAAATAAACTAAAGTGTATGATTTTAAATTACATAAATTAATATAACAAAAATATTCTGAAGTCTCATGAACGTATATAAATTTTACAAAATAACTGATTGCAACAGTTGGTTAATATTTTAGTTTCATTTGTTAATATGTTTTGAGTCATCCTATAATTTATATTTATAAAATAAATTATTATTATTATAAAACTATATATTCTTATTGTAGTTAAATCTATGATTTTAGATATAAGTTGGATTAGGTGATTTTCCCGTGTTCGTGCACAAATATAAAATCAACAACATAAATAAATCATACTAATTGATTACAAATTTGTTTTATAATTTATATGTAGATCTTGTATAAATAATATCATGTTGTTTTAATCAGACATGTGATTTAAGATATATAGTATCTAATCGATTTAATTATTATTTGGATATATTATATTGCATTTGTTTTTGGCTGATATTATTATATTTATTCTTATATATAGAAAAATATAATTATAAATACATATGTTTGTATTCCAACTAAACCAAATAAGATCAGTTTTATTTAATGTGGTAGTTACGTTTTTTATCTAGGATGTGTAGACATATTTTCATTTTTTATATTTGATGTTGATTTTTAAAAAAAAATAAAAAATAAATTGATGTTTAATATGACAACATAAAAGAACATTACCGATATAATTTTGAAAATAATTTATATATTGAGGTATAAACGATAAATTAAAAATTATATTAATAATTTTAAACATAAGAATTCAGATTATAGAAGAGACACTGGTTGGTAAAAATATAAATTAAAACTTAGATTCAACTAAAGATTAAGAAAAAAAAAGTAAAGTAAATATCTATAGTTCGCTAAAATTATATTGTCTTATAATATTTAAAATATTTCTGTAATTATTTTATTAAATTCTTTTATTAAGATAGAATTATAAAAAAATAGTTACATTTTCTAATAATGTTATCTTGCTTAAGATTATTTTTAAAGTATGTTGTTTAGTATTTTAAATAAATACCAAATTTTTGTAGAGATTATTTTATATAAGAAAGATATTAATTTACTTTTAATTTTTTTAAAATAAATACTCAAACATTTGTTTTATATTTAATTTTTTGAAATCATCTTATATAAGAAAATATAAATATACTTTAGATAATTCGAGATATTTAATTTATGTAGTCTAATCAAAAATACAAAGAAATTTTCAATCAAATTTATTTTAACAAATTATTATGCAAAGATATGTAAAACACTTAGTAATATTAGTTTTAAAATACTTTTAGTTCATAAAGAAACTTCAATTTATGTTATGTTATCTAAGTTAGTTTTGATCATCTGAAAATATAGCTTGATGTAAAGAAAATATTATTATTACTTTAAAAGTATATATTATGTTATTTAAGATTATGTATTAAAGGAATATATTTCTAATATTAAGATGTTTATTGTGAACTTTCCTTTTTTATGAACTCAAATTATATATGTGATATATTTTCGTTTTAAAAATTTAATTTTCTTCCTTTAATAAAACTTGTCTTGTTAAGTTTCCTTTTTTATGAAATCAACTTATTTATTATACATATTTCGTTTTTAAAATTTATAGTTCATTAATTAATGTTTACTTTTATTATATATATTATTTGGAAAGAAAATAAAGAAAAGAAAAGATAAATTAAAAATAAATAAAATTTTAATAATAATGGAAATTAGATATAATATTTTTAGTTCATTAAGGGTATCTATGTAGTCAACCATTGTGAAAGTTAACGTGAGCGCGATACATAATAAACTGACTTCTCAAATTATATTATAGAGATATTGACATATATAAATGTGTAGTTACTTTTTAATGTACTATATACATTTTCAAATTGTGTACTACGTATTATTTATTTTCCTTATATTGTGTGTTTCCATTTCTTATTCTTATATTGTGTATTTCCGTTTCTTATACTTTTATATTACATACTATCTATTTTTTTTACATTTCACGAGAGATGGTTAACTTTTAATGTAATATTTTCATTTTAAATTTGTGTATTTACTTATTATTTATTTTCTGATATTGCGTATTTCTATTTCTTATATTTCATTTTCCATTTTTTAAAAATATTTTTATTTACTTATTATTCTTATTTTCATATATTATATATTTACATATATAAATGTATAGTTACTTTTTAATGTACTATATACATTTTTAAATTGTGTATTTACATATTATTTATTTTTGTTATACTGTGTATTTCCATTTCTTATTCTTTAATTTATTTAATTTCTATATTTTACATTTTAAGATAGTTTTCTAATGTTTAATGTACCTTTTTCCATTTTTAAGTTGTGTATTACTTATTATTATTATTATTTCCGTATATTATATATTTACTTAATATCTATATTTACATACTTAAATGTATATTTACTTTTAATGTACTATTTCCATTTTTAAATTATGTATTTAATTATTTTTTCTTTTTTTATACTGTATATTTCCATTTCCATTTCTTATACTTTATTTTACTTAATATATATATTTTACATATTAAGATAGATGTTTAATTCTTAATGTACTTTTTCCATTTTTAATTACGTATATGCTTATTATTATTATTTGTATTTTATATATTTATTTAATATCTATATTTTACATTTTAAGATAGATGTTTAATGATTAATGCACTTTTCCATTTTAATTGTGTATTTGAATTTAAGATAGATGTTTGATGCTTAATGTACTTTTTCCATTATATAAATTGTGTATTTTCTTATTATTATATATATAATTCTTATATTATATATTCAAATTTTAAACTGTACATTATATCAATATTTCAAAAATGTAAAACTAAACAAAATAAGGTAAAATGTTATCAATATTTTCGGATTAATTTTTAAAATTGTGAAATGGTGATCTTACATATCTTTAATGTAGTATCTCCATTTCTTATGCTTTATATGTAATTCTTTTAATTTTCGAAATTATATATAATATGGTAATCTTACATATGTTTAATGTAGTATTTCCATCTATAATAATGTATATTTACATATTAGTTATTATATTCGTAATTATATTTATCAGTAATATTAAAATGTAAAACTATACATTATATCAATATTTCGAAAATGTAAAACTAAACATAATAAGGTAATAATATTAATGATGTCACGTGGCATCTTTCGAAAGTGGGTTTCAATGCTGATGTAGACGCATTATAGATCCTCAAAAGGCTCATTTTATTAGTATAGATTTCTATTTCAAATTTTTATATTTACATATATTTTTATTTTTTAAATTATATATATCATGGTAATCTTACATATGTTTAATGTAGTATTTCCATTTATAATGTTATATATATACATATTATTTATTATTTTCGAAATTATATTTATCAGTAATATTAAAATGTAAAAGTATACACTATATCAATTTTTCGAAAATGTAAAACTAAACATAATAAGCTAATAATATTAAAGTGAGTTTTTACGCTGATGTAGACGTTCTCTGGAGCTTCAAAAGGTACCTTTTATTAGTATAGATTTAAACAAATAAACATTAAACACCAAAATTACATAACATTTGAAATTATAGATTTTTTTTAAAAAAAGAAGAGAAATCCAACGAGTAAGATGCAAAGTTTCTAGAGTCACGGCCACAGACGTATTTAGTACTCATTCCGTTTCAGAATACTTGTCATTCTAGGCTTAATTCTTTTGTCACAAATTAAGTGTCCTTTTAGAGTTTTGAGTCAGAATTTGTTAGTTTTATACAATATTCTTTTTTTTTATTGGTTGAAAAGTGGTTACGTGTATAGGTAATTGTGTTTTTATCTTGAAAATATGTAAAATTAAATATTTCTTTAATATATTTGTAAAAAGTGAAACGGATGGAGTACAACTTAAGACGATAATTAAAGCACAAAACCTCTTAAAGACTAGTTATAAAGTGTCCATCAAGTATAACTAGTCTTTAAGAGGTTTTGTGCTTTAATTATCGTCTTAAGTTGTACTCCTTTCGTCTTAAGACTAGTTATAAAGTGTCCATCAAGTTGTTTCAAAAAAAAGAAAAAAAAAAGTGTCCATAAGTTTCTAGAGTCGGCCGCAATCGTATTTAGTATGACGAATCTGATCACGCCCAAACAACAGCACCAACAACACAATAAACATGAGCCTGACGACCATTGACTGCGTTTGTAGCGACCGTCCCGTCAAATACGTCTGCGTCGAAAGCCCAACTAGTCTCATCCGACGTTCATTCACATACTCATCAATAGCTTCTACAATGCTTTTAACGGAACAATCCTTTAACAAGTCTCCATGGTCCGGACCCATTTTCCTAGCTAGACATCTAGCAAGAACAACCGAATCCTCTAGTGCAGCCGAGCCGCCTTGTCCGAGGAATGGACCCATCACGTGCATTGCATCGCCAGCTACAGTCACGGTCCCACGTCGGAATTTCCCGAACATGATTTCCCACGGCGAACGGTACCTTAAATGTGTCAATGTTAATGACTCCACATTGCATCTTTTCACCATTTCTTTCCAGTCTTCAGATAACTTATCGACCCATTTTAGAGTCACATTTGCTATCGATTCTTGATCCTTAATGTTGTGATGACTGTCTTGCATATGGACTACAAACCAAAAGACCTGGTTATCGTTCAAAGGAAGTCTTCCAACTAAGACGTTGCCTATCTTCATCCTTAGAAGCTCTTGTGGAAATCCATGGCCGTTTGGGTAATTAGTGAACCCTCTCACCGCACGACAAGCAAATGCCTTTTTAGGGCCTAACCGCAGATAGTCACTGACGACAGAATTTGCACCATCGCATCCGATCAAGACCTATGAGAGAAGCAAACATATCATTAAACCCACAATCCTAACTATCTAAAGCAAACTTTTTTTTGTTAAAAACTTAAACCTCAAATTCAAAACGGAAGGTTCTTGTTCAGTTTGGCATTCGCATTTTCAAAAGTTTTTGATGATAAAAAGGTACTATAAATAAAATTTTAGTTAAAAAATGTATAGTTCGAAAATAAAGATTAAAAGAAAATTGTAGTATGTAAATTCAAACACAAACTCAAACTTGTGCTTGAAACAATGAATACCTAAAATGGGAATCATGATGATGATACGTTGTTACCTTGGCTTTGATCGTATTGCCATTGGATAAGTGAACGATTGGAAACGACGTAGTTTCGTCCTCTTGGATTGAAACAATTTGGGAATTGAACCGGATGGTTCCATCAGGGAGAGCATCGGCTAAGGCCTCAACAAGATCGTTCCTTCTAATACAACGAGCTTCGTCTCTGTTTGATTGCAATTAGTAAAAGTTTAAAATCAATAACAAATTTTCAACAGTCTATATTGCTATGTATATAATGATGAACAACATACTTGATGTTTAAAACGAATTCTCGTTTTTTCTTCCCATCCTCAATCAACATGGTCCGTGCTCTGTTCACCACATCCAAGAATTTATTATACAAGTTCTAAACAAAAGCTATGATCACTAATAATTAATTAGCAAAACAAAAAAGGATTAAAGTAGAGAAATCTTACTTGTGAATAAGATTAGACGTGAGACGAAGACGATCAGAGACGCCAAGCTGATCAAGAGCTCTCCAGCCATTAGTAAGAGTTCCAATTCCAGCTCCTTCCGACCTCACTTTCTCGGCTCTCTCCAACACAACACTTTTTATTCCTTTCCTGCATTTACAAACTTTATTATATACACACAAAAATAAAAGTACATATCAGTTAATGGGACAGATAATTTTTAGAACAACAAACCTGTGAAGAGCAAGCGAAGTGGCGAGACCAGCGATTCCGCCGCCGACAATAACTATTCCGATTTCTTCCATTTTGTTTCAGTTTTCAACTGTGATTTCAGATCTGGAGTTTACTTTGAGTACTTATTAAAACTTGTCTGAATGTGTATCTATAGTGATTTGTTTATATAGTACTACTACTAAATGAAAGAGAAGCAGCGAAGACTTTTCGTTAAAACAATTAATTACTTGGGAGACAATCAAGTCAGGCTCGATTGTCTTTGGCGAGTCAAACATGTGCTACGTTTATGCAAGTTAGTTGACGTTGACGCAAGCAATGACGCCACCTACATTAAATCATCTCTTTGATATTACCAAGTAGACTACTTGTGCATAAATATGGTCTACTTGTTGTTTAGTGAATGTGATTCAATACTTATCCTTTTTCTGTTTCACCAGAATTACTAAAGCTTACTACCTCTGTTTCATACTACCTCCAATTCACAGTTTACATGTCGTTGTACATAAAAATTTTCGTTTTAAAATAAGTGTCGTTTTATAGTTTCGATGCATAATTTATTAACTTTGTATATTTTTATATTTTTTATTGGTTAAAATGTAGTTATGTATATAGGTAATTGTGTTTTTATTTTGAAAATATGTAAAATTAAATGTTTTCATAATTTGTATGCAAAAACTTACAACGACAACTAAAATGAAACGGAGGGAGTATTAAGTATCACTTTAGCTTTTTAATTTTTTTTCAAAAAAAAAATATCATTCTACAATCTCAATGTAATTTATACATTAAATCTATTTTTTTACCTTTTTGAATAACGAATAGATTTTTATTGAAATCATTCTCATTTAACTAAACATACATTAAATAGGGATATATTAGTCTATTATACAATTTTTTTTCTTTTTGTGCAAAATGTCAAAGTGACACTTATTTAGAAACAAAATGAGTATGATTTAAAAAAAAAAGATTGATGTATTTTAATAAATATTGTGAAAACAAGACAAGTGAGTGACTATGACAAAACATAATTTGATATCGAAATGATTTTATTATTACATTAACTTTACAACTAAGATATTTACATGTCTATATACTCTACTCTTTACCTAACTAAACCACTAATAAATTACATTTACATTTGAACCGGAAGCTAAACCAATCTAAGGATTAATATCTCTCCTCAAGAGGAAGGTGCATAGATATCTAAAACACTCATTTTACCAATTAGATTCTAGAGTGGAATAGGATATAATGTTTTTGTGAGTACGTCCGCTAGCTGTTGATTAGTGCGAACATACATTGTCTTCACCATGCCATTGTCAATGCGCTCTTGAATGGTATAACAATCCAATTCCACATGTTTAGTTCTTTCGTGGTACACAAAGTTGTTAGTAAAGTGTAATGCCGCCGTATTGTCTTTATACAAATGAGTAGGCAAGGATAGAGGAACATGTAAGTCTTTCATGATACATATGATCCATTCAATCTCACAAGATGCATCAGCTAACACTCGAAACTCTGTTTCTGCTGTACTTCTTTATATAGTCTGTTGCTTCTTCGACCACTAAGAGACTAACGAATCACCAAAAAACATCGCATAACCAGTTATAGATTTGCGAGTGTCAAGAGAAGAAACCCAGTCTGCATCTACATAACCACGTTGTGTCAATTGACTGGCTTCATAGAAAACTCCTTGACCAATAGTTCCTTTAAGATATCAAAGTAGCTAATGAACATCTGTAATGTGAGCGTCTCGTGGTTTAGAAGAATATAGACATAGCTTAATCAAAGCATAAGCTATATTGGGCCTTGTAATCGCCAAATACATCAATCTTCCCATCAACTTCCCGAAAACCTTAGGATTTTCAAGTAACTCTCCCATTTCATGAATCACCTTCGAACCATCTGAAGGTTTCCAAATTGTCTCTAAAGAAAGCTTGATCGTAGGATCCAAAGGGATATATGATGGTTTACATCCAAGGAAGCATGTGTCATCCAACAACTCCATTACATATTTCCTTTGACAAACAGAGAGACCCTGTTTTCATTGAGCAATTTCTAAACCAAGAAAATAATTGGCTTCTCCAAGATTTCTGAGTTTGAAATATGTTTCCAACTCATCAGTGAACTCCTTCACTATTTCATCATTATTACTCACCACCTATATGTAATCCACATACACTAACAAGGCCAAATATCTTCCATTGATGTTCTTCACAAATAATGTATGATCATCATGAGATTTCTTGAACCCCATCTCCAAAGCAGTAGATGAAACCTTCTTGTACCACTGTCGAGAAGCTTGCTTGAGCCAATATAATGATTTGGGTAAGCGACAAACTGAATTTGGTGGACAAGACACTCATGTGATCTCCTCATAACCCGGAGGAAGCTTCATATATATTTCCTCTTCCAGTTCTCCCTTCAAGAAAGCGTTCAAAATATCGAGATGTGTCAGTGTCAAGTTAATTTTTGCTGCAAGATCGATCTGTAGACACCTTCGCAACTGATGAAAACGTTTCTCTATAGACCACCCCTTCTACTTGTGTATATCCTTGAGCCACCAAACTTGCTTTAATTCTCTCTACAGTTCCATCAAGATTATACTTCACTTTGAAGATATATTTACAACCAATAGGTGTTTTACCAAGAGGTAAAGGACATATACTACAAGTGGATGTTCTTTCTTGAGAACCAACCTCTTCTCCCCTAGCATCTCGCCATAACTTATCCAACAAAGCCTATGAATATTTTTTTGGTTCTTTGATTTTGGTGATAGAATTTATGAAAGCTTGAAATGGTTCAGGAAGAGAGGAATAAAAAACGAAATTTGCAATGGGATAAGATGTGGTGTTGGTAGGTTAAACATTGTAACGATGAAATTTTTGCAAGTTTTCGGGTTGTTTCTTTGGACGAGATGGTTTACGTCCAGAAGGGAGAACTAGAAGATGATGGCACATCAATATTAGGATTTACATCAGAAGATACATTCTCAGAGGTCCATTCCATCCCATCTTCATCACTGCTTCAGTAAAAGATCATTCCATCCTATCATATGATTTACTCATATCTGTCTTGATGGCCATCATTTTATTTCATCCGCTCAGTTTAGTTCTCAGAGCATGAAACATTTTATGTATAATCGTAATATTCTCTGAAATCTGTCTTCTAACAACAAAAGCTGATAGGATTTCCGAAATTCTGTCTGGTAAAACTTTCTTTAATCTATGGCATAAGACCTTAGAGATTATCTTGTAGCTTGCATTGCACAGGCTTATGTGCTGGAAGGGTGACATTTCATTAGGCTTGGTTGTCTTTAGAATTAGGAAACTATTTGTGTCGTTTAACCTGCTTGCCATCGTCCTTTCAAAAAGAAATGGGTTAGCCATATGAGTTAAATCTTCTTTTACAATATCCTAGAATTTCTGATAAAATAGAGATGTCATCCCATCTTGTCCTGAAACCTTCTCATGATGCATAACAAAGAGAGCAAATTTCACCTCCCACACCATGACTGGAGCTTTGCGATTATCATTAATTGATTCGGTAATCGTTGTGGAAACCTCAGATAGTGCCTCCTCTATAACTTATGGGTTAGAAGACTCAAAGATTTGTCTAAAAGAACTAATAGCAATGGCTACCAGTCTTTCCTCCTCTTCAAAAACATTTCCATTTGTATCTAAAAGCTGTGTAATTTTATTCCTTAATCTCCTTTGATTTTTCAATATATGGAACAATTTTGTGTTCCTATCACCCTCTCTTAACTAGAAAACTCAGTTTTTTTTGTTTCCAGAACATCTCTTCTACCTTAAGAGCATCATATAGTTCCGTCAAAGCCTCTGTTATATCCTCAGTCGTAGCATCATCATCCAAGTAAAGTTCATCCACTTTCTCCTTATGTTCCTCTACTAATTTTTCTGAGCTCAGGTTATGTTCTCTCCTTCACTGACTTAAGGCTATATGGCAACTCAAATTATGTTCCATATTTCAGGAGGAAGATCTGCAGATTTCCATCCTTCAAGAACGATTTACCTTAATTACTCACTATCCAACCACCTTTTCTCAACTTTAAAGCTTTTTGACTTTCATTTTAGTTTTGTGTGAGTTTCTGCAAGGATCACACGATAATCTGAACCCCATAACCTCATATACGTTATAGCAGAATGCAGGAAATTTTCGTGCCAATCTTTATTTCCAACCACTATGTCTAGACGGCATCTAACAGTTGTCTTTCCAACTCTTTTGCCTACCCATGACAACATATTTCCAGAAAATGGAAATTCCAACATTCCACAGTCATTTAGCATTTGCTTTAAAAGGCAAAAAAAAAATGAGCTATGAGAGTGTTGTCTTCCTCTTTCTTTTCATTATGGCATGTGACTTCATTAAAATCTCCTATCATAAACTAAGGTCATGTTCTTGTTGTTGAGAAACGCGTAAGATGTTGTCATACTTGATCTACACGTTATAACACAAGTTCACCATAAAAAAACGTCATAAATACTTTTATTCCATCGATGACTGCTTCCACGTCAATCATTATATTATTCGTAAACAAAACATTTATTTGGAATTCATTCATTGAAAATAAAGCTAAACCTCCGCTGAGACCAAGTGGCTCAACGGTAAACAAACGATCAAATCCTATGTCAGCTTGAATGTTTTGCAACAGCAGCCTCCTACTCTTTGTCTAAGAAAGAAACACAAGTCATGGACGATGCTTCTAACACATCTCCTTTAGACTTCAAACTGTGAGATCGATTCCTGTCCCAAAAAAATTCCAACTGATTATCTTCATAGATGATGTGGGGATCGGTTTTTGGAACCCATCAAACCACCGTCCTTGTTTGAACTCACTCTTGCCTTCTTAGAATTATGATGAGAGTGCCTTGACTTCTCTTTCTCTTTCTCTTTCTCTTTCTCTTCTGGTTTGTGTTTGGAAGACAGGGCTGAATGTATACGTGGAGAACCCCGACGAAGGAACTCTGTTTTTTTTTGTTTGGATCCCCAACGGAGGATTCCTCCTGTTACTACTCCTCAAAGTGTTTGCATCTTTAGACGTAGGCTTAGTCCATTAGAAACCAACAATTTTAGAAGAATGATATTTTTTCTTCCAAGTCAATGA